CCTTTCCCCCCCCCCCCCGCCACACGCCCCACGGCCGCGGAAGCTGCCCGCCGCGGAAGCTGCTCGATAGGTGTCTCGCAGCTTCGTATTCTCGTATTCTCGTATTCTCGTCGCGTAGTGTGATATTGCGGTGGGGCGGTGCGTATTCTCGTATTACTAGCTCCGAGTAGAGGGCAGCGTCCTGCAGTTAAGGGGAAACCTGGTACGCGGGTCCAACCCTCGGAGAGTATTCTTTAGCTCCGAGTAGAGGGGGCGCTCCGCTGCTAGGGGAAACCTGGAGCGCGGACTAACCCTCGGAGACGTGTTATGGCCCTGCGACCGCGCACCCCCGGGGCTAGGGCTCTCTAGCCCGTAACCCGATGCCGAGCGTCCGGCCAAATGGGTGCGCTTCTCAGCTCCCCGTTCCTGGGCGTGAGGTTACTGATTGCACTCCAAGTGCTCCAAGTGCTCCAAAGAGGAAGAACTCAGAGGAGAGGGGGGCCTCCTCCGGAGTGAGGATGAGGACCTCGCGCGAAGAGGCCCTGGGCGGTGACGTCGTGTGAGAGTGCGTGTCGTGTGCATGTCTGGTGTTCATTATAGCTCCGAGTAGAGGGGGCGGTCTGCTGCTAGGGGAAACCCGGAGCGCGGAGCCAACCCTCGGAGACCCGTGTTTACTTTACGGCCCTTTCCCTGCGAACGCGCACCCCCTGGGCTAGGGCTCTCTTGCCCGCAACCCGATGCCAATCATCCGGCCCGCTGGGTGCGCTTCTCAGCTCCCCGGCCCTGGGTGTGCGGTTGCCGACTGCACTCCAAGTGCTCCAAGTGCTCCGGGGCACTCACAGCAGACGTTTGGCGTGCCCGTTTTATTTATTTATATAGACGGTGAAGGTTCACGGGGCCGACGCCGACTACAGTGTGTACAGCGGGGAGGAGTGGGAGAATCTTACATAGCGACAAACTGGCACACACACCGGCACACCACCGGAGCCGCCTAAGCGACTCCGTTTAAGAACGGCAATGCACTCCTGAGGGAAGAAAACAGAAGCGAGATTTCCCGACACCCGATTGGGTGGAAGTCTACCTTCCCTCCCCTGGACATGCCTGTTTTCTTTCTTTAACAGCCCCCCTCCGCTCCTCCGTGTCGCGATGCGCTCTCCACTCCCGTTCCCCTGTCCCACGTACTTACTCGAGTACGAGCTCCTGCTTGCTCGTGCAGGTGGGGACCTGTCCTCCTCTCACTCATCCCTCATTTGGGTTGGCGCTTTCCTTTCTTCTTCTTTGGCACCACCGACAAGAAAGAAGTATAAATCTCTCCCACACCGTGCACCGACTCTACCTCCGACCACAGGGCCTAGGCGGCCCGCCATGACATCTAGCCGTGTGTGCTGGCGTCCAGGACCCCCTGGGTTGTCACGTAACAAGTACACACCAGCAGCCAACGCCCCACGACGCGCGAGAACATAGATTTCTCTAAACTTGCCCGTTTCGATCGAGGGCCAAATGTGGCCATGGATGGATAAATGCTGCAGCGGTCAGCTCAACAGGCAGCGCGCCGCGGAAACAGAGCCCGCTGGTGATACGCGTCCATTCTCACTAAGCGGTACGCGAAGAGGTTCCGAACACGCCGAAGCAGCGCAGGATAGTCTAGATGGAGGGCTAATCGG